AAATTCAATTTGAATAGAGCAACAAAAGTAAGCAAAAAAAAAATAATCAAGAAGTCTAGCCTCTATTTTTGTTCGGAATATTTGAAAATTTCCATTCTCCTGTCAGTTTGGCCAATAGCTGTCAGTTTGTAAATTGCCACTACTGGTAATTTACAAATTGACAGACAGGTACTGTTTATTCGACAATCAAAAATAATCAATTTTGTTTGTGTATTTAATTGTAAGCTGGTTGCCTTATTTAAGTAATTTTTCAATCATTTTCTGACAATTTTATCAAGGAAATTTATAATTGCACTGCATGTTTAGGATTCGATAGGGATAATTTACTGAGATTATTAATTTAGAATGCATGTTTCTGATGGCATATACGTAATAGTTTTCAAAGTAGAATATTATGAATTTTTTTTTCATTTGGAATACAATCTCTTAGTCAATTTAAAATTAAAACACATAATTATTTAGACAATATTGTTAAAATAAAATTAAACTATTTAAATTAATTGATAATTATGTCAATTTAATTAAAATTTTTTATTAATTATATTATAATTAAATTTTCTTTATTAATATTTCGTATAAAAATTCACAAAATCTTAAAACAACTTCAACTTGCAATTGATTTTTTCTAGTGTATACTAGTGAATTCTAGTTTTTTCAGTGAATAAAACAAAATAGGCAACAGATTTTTTTTTACCCGAAAATATTATTTTAAAAACTTGAACTTTATGTGAAGTACTAAAATTCTAAAATTAAAATTTTCAGTCTCATCCAAAATTTTCATCTCATTTTCATTCTTTTTTTTTCTTTCCCCTTTACATATTATACGTTCTTGTATAGACTTTTTATACCTTATCCGACGATTTTTTATTAAAATAATTATCTGAATTGTGGTATTGTGAAGATTGAAAGATAATTTACAAAGAGAACTTTATTTAAGCGTAAACATTAATTAGAAAAAAAAAGTCATGAATCACAAATTTTTTGCTGCCTTTTCCCTCTTTATACCTTACGATCGTATGTTCAAAGGGTATCAATAATTTGCCTTACCGTTTGTAACACTAAAAAAAATGGCCAGAGAAATGGCCTCGTATATGCTCACCAAATTTGATCAAATAATTTATAAGTAGTAGTAAATGATGGAATTCTATTTAAATTCGATGTGATGGAAGCAGGGGTTCGCGTAGCTGACGTACAACTTCAAATTTACTTTGCTATACCTCAGAAGTTTTTGAAGCTAAAACATCGAAATTTCGCAAAAACAAATATATTATTTACTGTTATTTGTGATAAAAGTACTTGAAATTTCTTGACTCCTTATGGCAGCTGCCACAAAACTTCGAAAGTCATTTGGTCGCACACTATGGAAGCTATTGAAATTACAGTGTTGAAATTTTACATAAACGAATAAAAAACAAGGAGAACTTATGGAATATAGTGGCAATTAACACACAAAATTTAAAATTATTCATTCGTACGGGTATCACAGAGTTGACATGGTCAACTCTTCCTATTCTCGTTTTTATATAGAATAGACAGTTGATTTAAAACTCTCAACACAATATTTTAAAATAATTATTACAACATTTTTGACTTGTTTTCACACAAAAGACAATCTGCTCATAAAATCATACCTAGCTGAACATATTTTCGAGACGTATTTGGCAGCGATATGCTTTAGCCGGACATGCCAAATTTCATGAAGCTAGTTTTTTTATTTTTAAAAACAATCAATAATTGCAGCATTTAGCGTATATAAATATATATGTATATGAATTATATTAAATTTACATTAAATCTGTTCTATTGTTCTATTGTTACAAAAATTAAGAAGCATAATTTATTAAACATTTTCAAAAATAATATAGTCGTACATATATACTCATACAAATATTTACATTTGCATATACCTATCGTAAGTTATTTATCTAATTTCAACATCAAAACTTGCGTTGAAATATTCGGTCTTATGACTAAATCCTCTTAGTACGATACGATAATCCCTGGCTGGTATAATAGAATTTCCAAAATCTAGTGTGTCAAATAGTAAATCTCTGACAAAATAATGACCCTATATAAAATAAGCAAACAAAAAAATATAAAATTACCTAAAAATTATTAAATTACTTAAAAAATATACCGCATAATATGGACATGTATGATTCATATTTGAATTTTTAAATAAAGTTGCTTTAAAAATTTTAAAGATGGGACTGTATTTTCCAGCTGCAGCTTCACAAAAATCAAATGTTCCATTAATAATCCATTGTTTCCAACCATTAAGACGAGCGAATGTATTCATGTTTATCTTAAATATTAAAATATTCTATTTGTATTATATTGTTATATTTTTAAATAATTGCAAGATTTTCTACTTTTACGCTATTAGATTAAGATCAATTGAGTAAAATATTTAGATTTAGAACATAAAAATCTGTAACAGAAAATCTAATTTTAATTTTAGCACATAGTTTATTTAGAGTTTAGACGACAGTTGGTGTTAAAGCTCTTTAGGGTAATTCGTTGGAGTTTTTTTAGGGAAAAGACAGTTTGTGTAGGGTGCTATGTAATTATAAATCAAGTTATAGCTACTTGGAAGAGAGGGCAAGCCTATAAAGTTAAATCAGTTTTGTTCAGAAATGTGTTAAAGTGGATTTTTCTTGCAAATGACCTTTATTAACATTATATAAATTTTTTTAAAAAAAGCTTTCATATACGTTTTTTTTTTGCAAATGAGAAGACTATGTCAAAATATTCTCTGTTTTTGTTCCTATTTCTTACTTATTAATATTATCAAAGACTTTTTAAAAAATAAACGAACAGACCATTATAAATTTAATTAATTGTTAATAACCTACCATAACATGTGTGATATTTATTATTAGATCAGCATCAATTATTGCAACAACTCTATTCCTATTGATTGCTTTTAAAATGCACGTTAAATCAACGATGGTTTTTGGATTCGCCTCACATTGTATGTTACGTAATTTGATGCTTTTAAAAGATTTCTAAAATAAAATAATTTTGAAAAAATAACATTTTAAATTAATTACATGTAGATATTATTTAATTGTATTTATTTTACCCCTTCAGTTGAATTTTTGTATGCATAAAATGATAAAATTAAAAAAATTAAAAAATTAAAAATTTTCATATTACACAAGTCTCGTATCGGGAAACTCCGTTCTATAATGATATAATGATCCCAAAATAATAATTTCAATTTAGCTGATTTTGAAACAAATTTCAGATACCTTAATGAGAAATACTGTCAAAGTTTTATATGATTAACAAGATATACTCGTATACTCGTGTTTAATGCTCTTATAATTTACAAGCAATTAAAATATCATTTATTATTGGTTAAGTGACTTATCACAACATAATGGTAATTCTAAATCTTTTTAGTTTATTAATTTATTAGTCAAATTATCTACTTTCTATATAGAAGCAAAAGCAATATATGTATATACTTATTATTTATAACTTTGTACTTTCCAAATAGCATGCTTCGCATCACAGTTTTCATTTATTTGGAAATTTTTTGACAGTGACAGATATTTTTTTGGTGTAATTGCGGAAAATATCCACATTGAGCCCCCGTATACAATTCTTTGTGAAAACCCCATCGGGTCCGTCTGCCCATCCCAACAATAACTAAAAAACTAATTGTGCTAAGTTCATCAAATTTTCACAAATGATTTAATATAGTAAATGCCAGAACTCTATTTAATTTAGGTATGATCGGGGTACTGAATCGGGTAGCTACCATACAACTTCAAAATTAATTTGGCTATATCTAAGAAACTATAAAACTTGTGGTATTGAAATTTCCAGAAGTAAATACATTAGTAGGGCCAATGTGTTTGATAAAAGTAGTTGAAATTGCTTGCCTCTGTCTGGTAGCAGCCATACAACTTAAATAGTAGTTTTGCCATATCTTAGAAAATATTGAGAACACAGTACTGAAATTTTGCATAAACTAATATGGTTATACGATAACTTAAAGTCATAGTGTGTCCCATAGTCAGCTATGGCATATTTGTAAAAGCTATACAAAATTCAGTTCTAATTCAGTTTTTTTCAGATTTTTAAAATTATTAAATTTTTGAAAGACAATTTAGTATCAAACTGTTGCATAAGTTTATAAAAATGCCCGTTGAGTAAGTATTTCTTTCAAATTTTAAGGAAGAAATTGTGTATTTCGCGTTTTTACAGTTTCTCATTACGTCATTTGAATTGCCTGAAAATATTGGTAGCAAACGGAACTTCAATATTAAATTTCGAAAAATTCTATTAATAATTAGTTCCATATTTAATGTACAAAATGTAAAATTCGATCTCATTCGTTTAGTTTGGGAGCAAGATATTCCCAAAAAATTTTTAAGTTCAATGTTTTAGTACCCTGAATTTATTACATTATTTAATTTCAAGAAAATTGGTTTTTCCTTATTCTATTCTCAAAAATGTAAAATCAACCCTTGAAAAATCCTTCGATTGAAAACCGCAAGCTTTTTCAAATTCCTATAAACACAAAAAGCTAACGGTAAATTCCATGACATTAAAAAATTTAATTATTTTTCTTAACTCACACAGTTAACCCTTAAAATCGAGCATCATGTTAACCACACTTTATATTAATTTTTGCTTTATTTCAAAAACTGCATAAATCGTTCATCCTAAATATATGCAATCCTAGAAATAGTTTTGTATATGAATAAAAGTAATTTTAACAGTATGATAGGTATTCATAGACTGTATTTAAAAGCAGAATTTTCACTTGTTGAATGGAAAAATGCTACAATACAAACCATTGGTTTGACCCAACTTTATTAAATTTTAAAGTAACTTTGTCTCGGCTTTTGTGGGAAAAAATATAACTTTTAATATATAATTCTTCGTGGTCTTATACTAGAAACTGTAAATATTATAATATTATATAAGTAATTAATGTAAGACTTTGTAATTATTATTGACCATTAATTCTATATTTTATGCCTTTAGAAACAAATATTATTTCGATAAGTTGATAGTGATGATGATTTTTTACTGTAATTTATATTATAATTTAGAGTGATTTATTGTTAAACAAGTAAAAATTGTAATTAGAAAAGTATAATAGGAATATTTAGTTACAGTTAAATGCAAAAGCTTACAAACATAATATATTTACACCACTTCGAAATCCAAAGTTAAATTAAAATAAAATACTTCTCTATATCCAGTAAACACAAATCGGTATATGCCCCTTGGTAAAATGGAACCTCCAAAATTCAAATGTTCTAATTCCATATTTTTGCCAATAATACGTCCCTTTATATAAATATACATTAAATATAATTTTTACTCGTAGTATGCCGTCCTATATGTACATTAAAAGCATTAAAAATACAAAATTACCGAATATGGACATGTGTGATTGATATTTGTAGTTTTGTTTAGAACATTTTTAACCATTTTAAAAATTGGATTGAATTTACCAGCTAAAATACTGCAAATGTCCATAGTTCCAGCAATAATCCAAGGTTTCCAACCATTTAATCTTGTGTATGATCTTAGAGTAACCTGATAAAATAATAAAATTTCTCTTATATTAAATTTGAAGTTTTATTGGAAGTTTTAACGTTGTTCTCACCGTAAGCTCTGTTATTTCTTTAACAATATCAGCCTGAATGTTTGCAAAAACTTTATACTTATTTACGGCTTTTAAATAGCATGTTTCATTTACAAATATTTCGTGATTGGCTTGACATCGCATGCTAAAAAATCTTAATCTATTTTGCTGAAATTAGAATATAATATTTTATTTATGCTAATTACTTAAGAAAATCGAAGTTTCTGTACTTCTCCGAGAGAGCTTCCACATAAATCAAAAATTAAAAAAAAGAATAAAAAAGTGTGGTTCATGTTTCGTGATTAACTAACTAGACTAATTTATATTTTGATTCAGATTCAAAATAATTATAATTCTAATTTTATCACAAAAATGTAGAAATAATAATAGAAAATTTTAAAAAACTACAACCAATTTAAAATGTTTGATCTTAAGATAATGTTAATAGCCTGGTTAGGGTTACATATAATATTCTAATTAAATAAAGTTGAGGCAAAAAAGTGATTTGTAAGATAGCACTTTTTCCTTCATTATTAAAATTTCTTTCATTCATATACCAAAATATTTCAAAGTTTCTTAACATTGAGGATGTGGCAAAACAAAATTGAAAAAGACGTTAACATAATGCTCGAATTCAAGGGTTAATTTCGTAATTTAAGGAAAATAATTATATTTTTTTAAAGCGTGGCATATACCGTTACCTTTTTGCATTTATACAAATTTGGAAAAGCTTTCAGTTTCTAACACTTAAGGTGCCAAAAATTTTAGTTTTACATGTTTCGAGAGCCGATAACCTGAGAGGGGATGGAATTGAAAAACAATATAAATTTGTTAGTACTTATTTAAAAGCTACTAAAATTTCAGACTCCTGCAAGTTGCCATCTAGATGAAAAACAATATCAAAAATTAAAAAAAAGGAATGGTAGATAATGTTTGATTTAACGACCACCTAATTTTTTCAAGCCTATCACTATTTATCGACGTTAATATTTCACAGAATTTAAAAACTGTTTGTATTGCGGTTTCGTTACATATAAGATTTCAGCTCTCTATCCTGAAGAGTGTAGAAGTTTTTTAAACATGTCCACGGACAAATTAACGAACAAAGTAAAACTAATAAGCACTTTTTTTTCAAAATATTTTTGGAAAAGTGCATAAACGGCTTTATTATATTGAATACATTCTAATATTATGTACAATGTACATTCTAATATTAGTAATTTCGTTTGAATTTTTAAACATACTGTATAGTGTTTTGATATATCAAATCTAAGTATGTTAGAATAGAAGCGAATTATTCATGCGTTCGTTTTGCAAAATTTACGAAAATAACATTACTGAACAAGTTTTCTTACTTGTTACCTCGAATTGCAAAAAAAAATCTGATGTGATCAGCACATAACCGACCGCAATGTGTATTGTCTAGTCAAGTGAAAGTGTTACAGAATATTATAAAAACGCCTGTTAAATACTTCTTTCCTATTTTTAGGACGTTAGTAAACTTATAGTTAACATACCTAGAAAAATGTAAATTTGGTTCTTAGTAGAGTTGCGCTTTGTGCTACTCGAATTCCCTGAGATGCTCGCCAGTTAGTTTCGGTAACAACCAGAACTTAAATATCAAATTTCAAGAAATTCCATCAATTCGTTTCGTAGAAATGGTGAAAAATGTAAAATCGGCCAGGAGATCAGTTTTCAAGATGATTCCTGATCTTTCCAAAAAATTTATATGTTCATTATTCTAGTACGAAGAATTCAAATATTAAATTTCAATGAAATCGGTTGATTATTTTTCTTTATATACGCAAAAATGTATATTTGGCTCGTAGTAAACGTCCAGTTGCTGACACCTGATTTCTTCCATAAGCTAGGAAGTTTCGTGGACGGTCGAGCAACGCTTATATATCAAATTTCAAGCAAATCGGTTGAATATATTCTTTGAAATGGTCAAAAATGTAAAACAGGTCTGTTAAATGGTTCAGATCCCAAGGCCTGATATACCAAAAGTTGATCAATCCGTGCCATAATCGAAATAAACTTACATATAAAATTTCATCAAAATCGGCTCAAACCAACTTGAGATACACGCGTGCACTCACAGAGAGACAGACCGACAGGTTTCTAAAAGTAGTTTATTTACACTTCCCTATCATGGAGAAGTGCGTTCCCACCAAAAGCTCGATATGCAAAATTTGTTGCCCTTACATAATCTATACGTCAGAAGTGATGTCATACCACAAAGACTATTAAAACTGTTGTATTGAATTTTTGCACAAACTTATATACCATATGTTTTATGAAAATTACTAATTGCACGACTTCTTGTGGCTGCTGCCCTACGTCTTTATAAGTTATTTGACCTATAGACGAATGATATTTTGCAAAAACGAATTGGTTGGAATTGAGACTGCCATATCTTCAAATTTCCCATTCATTTTAGTTTAAAGTTTGGCACAAATATGAAAATAATATATTAATTAAAGCTACTATGCAACATGAATCAGTGTGCAACATCATACAATTTTTCAAATTATTGACGTTAACATGTTACGTATTTTCGTTTAGTGTGGTAGATAGGGTTTTTATAGACTTGAACAAGGCCATTCAATAATACTTTCCATCAGGAGTTGCTGTTATAAAAATTATCCTATTCTCTAAATAATTTTTCATCTTATTCTGTTCAAGTAATGGGAAGCTACTTAGGGCGCAACAGTATGTTAATATCAACAATTTGAAGAGTTCACCTCAATCAATTTTTGGACCGTTGCTGTTCCTGATATTCATTCATTGTATTCATATATTAAATTTAAATAATAAGTATTACTTGCTTGCTGACGATAGTGTTCTTTTCTTTCCGGTTAATACAGTTGAAGCCTCAATCCAGGTTGAGCATGGCTTACTTATACTATTGAAATATTTTAGTGAAATATTTAATCGTGGTGGGATCTCTTAAGTGTTTTCGAAAGCAAAAAGCACAAATCTTTTAGTAACTTTCAAATTCTCGTTATAGAACTCTTTTCAAAATCTCGTTATAGAAAAATTTTTCAAAACTAAACATTGGTTTATGAATCACAAAATATGTTCTAAATCTTTTTAATCATAAAAATCCTAATGAGTCCATACTTAAGGAGATTCAAAAGTAAGAAAATTCAGGAGTAAGAAAACAAAATTACGTTTGTATAGGTATTTGCATTTTATTGTTATTTAACTTCAAAATCAATTGTTATATTCACACAATTTATTGTTGGTAAAAAAAAAAGTAATATGAAACGATAAACTCCACTTGGTATTACTGAATTTCCGACATTAACTTTATCCAGTTCTAGGTTTTTGGCGTGCACAACACCCTTAAATCAAAAAATAATAAGTATATGTTTTTATTTTTATTTCATACAAGTATAGAATACATAAAATGTACTATATTACCGGAGAGTACGGACATGTATGATTTATTGTTGTATATTTGAAAAGAGTTTCTTTGATAATTTTAAATATAGGATTAAATTTTCCATCTAAAACATCACATAAATTAAGTTTCGTATTAATAATCCATGGTTTCCATCCATTTAAACGAGAATACGATTTTATTTGCAACTAAAATTTAAAAAGTTTGATATGAAACTGTTTAAATTTTACACTATTGAAAACTTGGGAGAAAAAAATCGAATTAAAAGGGCGAAAAACTTGGCAGAGAACAATCGAATATTTCTATTTAATTGAAAATACTCACCATAGCTTTCTCAACGAAAACGCTTAAATTCGCTTCTATGTTTGCAATTACTTTACGCCTTTTATCAATTTTCAATTCACATGATGTAATGGTAATGTATTTCGGATTCGAATCACATTTTAAATTTAAAATTTTCAAAGCATTTTTCTAAATTGTTTTTTTTTTTATTGCAAAATTAAAATTTTTTTTTATGAATTTGCTCGTAAATAATATAGAATTGCAAATATTTAATTGTTATACCTGTGCTTTAATATTTTCTATGTCACAAATTATGAAAACCAACAACCATAGTGAAATAAAATGTTCCCGATACAAATATTTCATTATTTTTTAAATTAAAATGATTGGGCTAACTTGAATTTCATTTTATTAATACTATATTCAAATATTTCTTTTGATTGTATCTGGGACATTTTTTAATTATAGAACCATTTAATATTTGGTTTAATTGATCATTAAATTATAGAATATTTAAGATTTTAATATTATATAAGAATGTGTGCTTGTTATAAAAACTGTTGAAATATTTGAACTCTACAGGTACTTAAAAAAGTTTTAGAAATTAAATTTTATAAAATCTTTAAAAGTTTTCATCTCTTAAATCATTAAAACTTTCAAGGTTAACTAGGTAGTCAACTAGATAGCACAAAACAGAGAGTTTATCTTTTATATATGTGGTAAATAGCTCTACTATATAGCGCCCTATTATTTAATTTTTGCCTTGTATTACTTCATATAATATAGTAGTGATATAGCCTCTAAAAGGCCTCTTGACAGCCGTCGGATCTATAAATCGGTAATATAAATCGATTATGGAGGCAATCTCTACAGTACGTCCCATAGCAAACTACACAGTAGATACATATTATAAAGTGTTTTTTATAACAAGATATTATGATCGGAAACTAATAAAATTTCCAATTAATTGAATACTAACGTATCATTTCAAATTAACGTTTTCCTGTTATTTTAGCTTCAATTTATTTTTTTTATTGCTTTTTTATAGTTTTCCGGAAAAAATTGGAAAAAAATGCTTATTAGTTTTACTCTATTCGCCCGTGTATTAAAATAAAGAAAGCTTTAATAAAAACCTATTTTGGTCGAAGAAAAATTCTTCCCTCTAAAATTTTAACTCTCCTCCCCCCACCCCAAAGCCCTTAAAAGTACCATTGTTTAACAGAAAAGTAGTAGCTGGCTTCTTGTATCGCGTTATACCACATTTGAACTTTAAAAAAACAATATGATCGTTAGAATTTACTGTTATCTGAAATCAGTTTTTTCTAAAATTTTAATATTGTTTTTCTTCTAAACCACACATTGTAGGAGTCTGACATTTTAACAGCTTTTAAACACTAATAAACAGTTCATTTTGCTGGAAGAAAATTTTTTTCTGACTCAATCCTCTCTTAAATAT